CTCTCTCTCTCTCTCTCTCTCTCTCTCTCTCTCTCAAATAAATAAAAATTAAAAAAAAAAAAAAGAATGAATGAGAGACCCCCCCCCCATCCTGAGCCCTCCCCTAGGGCAGTGGGGCTGGGGGAAGAATGGACAGATGTGTTCAGGGAGTTTAGCCCTTACTGGTGCCTGCAAAGATGACAGGGGTGGCCACGCCGTGCCTCTTGCCAGGCCCACTAGCTCCAGGCCGGGAGGTGTTGCCAGGGCTGCGGAAAAGGCGGCCATTTCGGAAGACGAGCAGTTGCAGGATGCAGTCTGGGGGAGCCGGGGGGGCCAGGGAAGCCGGAAGGGATGAGAAGAGGCTAGGGGGCAGCTGGATGGAGGCCAGGGCCACGCTGTTCTGGGGGGACAGAGGAGCTCCTCAGAGACATTGCTACTCCCATGGGTTCTGAAATCTTTTAACTCTCCCACCACACCACCCACCTCACCACCAAACACTGTCCCCCGATCACCCCCACACCCACCTTGATATGGAAGGATGACAGGGAAATGTTGGGCCTCCCTGTGGTGCAGCGAAAGCGGAGGTGCTGGTCAGCGAGGAGCTCAGGCTCAGGTGGGGTGCTGTGGCCAGGGCTGCCCAGCCGTGTCCCCGCCACCCCCAGCTCCTGTCTCTGGAAGGCTGTGCAGCTCAGACCCATGTAGCTGTGTGGCTTGATGAGGTAGGCCTCTAGCGCCACGTTCCTGGAGTTCTAGGACAGAGATCGGGCAGCTCTCGGTGCTGCAGCTGTCCTTGGGCAGATCTGCTCAGGCAGTGCCTGCTCCCCTTCCTTGAGGTCTTTGCAAAGTGGGATTCCTTAGTGTGCAGGGACCTCCCACCCCAGCCCTGGCCAAGGGACCTTCTGCTTTCTGCTGTGGCTCTGGTGCTCCATCAACACTCTCATCTCCTGCGTTGCTCACCTTGCCCTGCTGCTTTTCTGAGACAGGGTCTCATGTGACACAGGATGGCCTCAAAATCAAGAGCCTCCTCTCTCAGCCTGAGTGCACCACCACACTCTGCCTCAACTTGGTTGTAGAGTGGGGTCCGCGTCTGACCCTGGCATCTCCCAAAGTGCCCAGCAGGATATCTTGCATGCAGAGGCAGCTCTCCCAGGGTCATCCATCGGTGAATGACCCCACGAAGTTGGAAATGCCACCCCCTCATGGAACTGCCACCCCATCTTGTCTCAAGGGCCCGAGCCTCTCTCTTGTTCCTCCAACTCCTGTTTGTTGCCATCAGGCCAGCCCTCCAGCTCAGCCCACCAGGAGCCCAAGACTTCATCAGCCCCAGGCCTGCTCTCTGGACTGCCCCAACACTGCAAACTTAGCTTGCTGTGCTTAGGGGCACAGTGGAGAAGGGCTGGCCCCTCCCTCATGCAGACCCACATTACCACAGAGATGTGCTGGGCGTGGGGGCTGAGGACAGCTCCCCCAATGCGCTCTAGGGCGCCCAAGATGCCGCTGCAGGCCTTGTCTTCACGCTGGGCCAGCCACAGCAGGTGCTCGTCCACCAGCATCAGATTGCTGGCCATGTCCACCATCACCTCCACCAGCTGGAGGGGGCAGGGTAGTCAGAGGGCAGAAGGAGGTTGGGACCCAGGGGCTGAGTCCATGGCAGGTGCTTTTCAGGGCCTCCAGAGAACAAAATCTCACCTCTTTTATCTGGTCAACATAACCCAAAAATTTCTGGATCATCTGAGCCACGTAGACTACATCCATCATGTCTGAGAAGCTGGCAGCCTCAGCCGTGTACACTCGCAGCTGGTGGGCCAAGGTCAGCGCATTGGAAGCATTGATGGGCATCTAAGGGTGTTGGAGGAGGAAAGAGGCATCTTGCTTCCTGTCTTGTCCTTCTGTCCCTGAACTGCCCCTAAGGCCCTCTCCTCAGCCTGCTTCAGCTGTAGAAAGTGGCCTAATCCACCGGTCATGGAGTCAAGGCAGGAGGTGATGGGAGGCTGAAGCTACCCACTCCCAGCACCAAGGACAAGAGGCCGTGTCTTGATGTGTTGGCAGTAGAGGGGAATAGGGTGGAGGACTGGCCAACTCTCCTAGGGTGACCCTTGTGGCTCTGAGTCTCCAGAAGGAAGGTAAAGGACAACACTAGCAGAGAAGGTTCTAGACCACAGCATGGGGGCTGGGTTTCCCGTGCCTGCGTCATCTGGCCCCACCATCCCATGCCCCCTCCACTCCCAGCCTCACCAGCACGAAGGTATACAGCACCCTGGTGATGTCGTTGGTGTACAGGCAGTGGGAGTAGTCCCCTGGCTCCCAGCGGCCAGCCCGGTCACAGCGGCGGGAGGCTCGGGTTCCTGGGGGACCTCCACTCAGGGGTACTGAGGTAAAGGGGTACTGTAGGCAGGGCTGGTAGGCTGTGATGCCAGCCAGAGTTCGAGGCCACCTGGGGGCAGAGCAGGAAAGTGCCATGAGCCCAGCTCCTGAGGACCACACCCCATGCCCACCCTAAGGACTGAGGCCAAATCCTGAGTCTAGGGGAGAATCCTGAGGGGATTCTTACAGCGTCCCCAATTTCTGCTTGCTAATTGTGTGCCCTGACGGTGTGGTCCCAGGTGACAGTGTGTCCAGGGGCACAACTCCAATTTAAATTAGGAGTTTAAATCCAAGCTAAGCCACTTAACTATTAGGCGAGTCCCTTTCCTTCTCTGGGCTCCTATTCTAGGTTGTACAGTGGGGAAGTTCATACCCGCCCTGCTTCCTGGGAGGGCCGCTGAGATATTAAAATGTGACAGTGTCATGTACATATGCCAGGAAGAAATTCGAGTGTCTGTGGAAGACCTCTGCAAGCTCTTCATGGAAAGGAGCCGTGAGAAGGCCTTGTGCAGGGTGCAGCACCTCACAAATGCTGGCCGTACAGAGGACAGCGAGCCTCTAGTCTCAGAGTGCTCACGTATGATGGTGGGTGTGGGGTAGGGCATCAGAGAGAGGGTACTCTGATCTTGGGTCACCCCTCTGCAGCACAGCAGTGCAAACCTGAAGTCACCGCGGTTGTTGGCGACGCGCTCGGCAGGGCAGTAGGAGGCAGAGGTCTCCAGCACCACAATCTCCACCTTCTTGCTGACATTGCCCTGGACGGTGGACACGGAGCACTCCCACTCGCCCGAGGCCCACACGCTGATGTGAGATAGGGTCAGCTCGCTGTAGGCAGGAGGGTGGGCACCAGCTCGCTGAGGCGCAGTCTAACCTGGCCTGCTGCCCCCAGTGCCTCCAGCCAGCCCTCCACAGGTGCCTGCTCATGCCTCTCCTCTGTGTACCAAGGAAAAGGTGCATGCCCCTTTCATCCTGATCATCCTCATGGTTGTTTCCCTTAGTTTCAATATTTATTTATACTAGACATCAAACTCAGGACCTTGTGCTTGCCAGGCAAGTGCTGTGCTGCTAAGCTCCAAACTGAGCTACATCCCCAGTGTGTGTTTATTTTTTGCTATCAACCACTCAGAGTTCTGGGTCCACTTGCACATACTACATCTGGCAAATTTCCCTGTTTTTCCTGTGGAGATAATCGGACCTCTTACAGATCTACTGTAGAGATTAAACCTAATAATAAAGATAAGCGCCACTATACACATTGTAAAAATACTAAGGAATTGTCACTTTTTAAACTCCTAAACTCTATTTGGACCACTTGCGATTGCCCACACTCACACAAACACATACAGCCAAGCCCATGTCTGGGCACAGCTCTTTGGCAGGTAGCAGGAAGGTGGCCACTCCACCCTGTGCATGGGCAGAGAAGGGGCAGCCTGGCCCCTACCTGGTGATGAAGGTACAGTCATGGATGAGGCTTTCGGCCAGGAGGATGCCTGCCTGCTCATCTCCCTCCACCAGGGCTCGGTTATGGTACCAGCGGATGTGGGTGTCATTGCCCAGGTAGCTGGCGGAGCACTGGAAGGGCAGCCGGTCGCCCTGGAACACCACTTGGCGCAAGGAGGGGATGAGGTGGTGGGTGTGCAGCTCCAGGGCCCCCTCTGTGAGGAGATGCATGCCGTGAGGCCTGAACTGCATGTCTGCATGCAAAAGGGCCTGCCAGGCAAGGGAGAAAGGAAAGGGGACAAGAGAGTGACGTGAGAGCAAGGGGGAGGAGTGGGCAGGCTCGGTGCTCAGAAGAGGGCTCCTCTTAAGCACATGTGTTATCCCAAGAGGTTAAGACCAGATGGAAGTGTGGCAGGGCAGGAAGCCCCACAGGAGGTTTAGGGAAGGTGATGGAGGCTGCTCTGTGGACGGAGGGAAGGAGGAGGATGCATCCACCATGGGGCTCCACAGCACACAGGCTGTGCTGCGAGGGCAGGCCTGGGGTTGGCTCACCGCAGCGGAGCTGTGTCTCCTGTAGGCCACCCAAGGCGCGCCCGTGCAGGGCACTGGGATAGGCACACAGTGTGCGCTCAGACAGCTGCAGGGAGTGATTCCGGGCCCAGGGCAGCAGCCAGTCTAGGTGGCAGTCGCAGGTCAGGAACTCAGTGCCAAAGTCTCTGTGGGGTGGGCAGATGGGTCACAAAGTACAGCAGAGGGACAGGCAAGGGATTGAGGTTGGCAGGACTGGGAAGGGCAGGCATTGGTATGTGGGTACTCCTCCACAGGGCACTACGCTGCCTGCTCATCCTGCTCCATGGCTGCCTCCTGGGCAGAGGAAAGGAGGAGCCTCCTCTCCTGGGCTGAAAAGATACTCACACAACCTTAAGGGCTGGCAGCTCATCAAAGACCCTGGGCTGCAGGCTGGAGAAGATATTTCCAGATATGTTCCTACCGTGGGCAGAGAAGCAGGGAGTGGATTCAGGGCCTTCCTGACCAGGGGTGGGTGGGGGGTGGGGGGTGGGAGACAGGGACTGAAGGGTCTGGGGCGACCTCTTCCCTCCCATCACTCACAGCCGGACAAGCCTGGGGAGGCCTTGGAAGGTGTCGGAGGTGAGACAGCCGATCCGGTTGTTGGAGAGATCTCTAGAGAGAGACGCACATTCAACACATAGGCTCCATGGTGGCACATGGTTTGCTTGTGAGAGCCACACGTGTGCACCTGGGGAATGTGTGGAGGGGAGAGGGCTGGGAGCCAGTGCCACAGAGGGCTTCAGATGCCTGTGCACTTGATACTAGCTGAGAAATGCATAGTGGGGAGCGATGAAGAGGGGCTCATGGGATCGGGAACTTTCTTTGGGGTTTAGGGGAGCAGGGAGGAGGACAGGACATGCCACTTACAAGCGCTTCAGCTCCCCCAGGCCCAGGAAAGCTCCCGGCTGCACCATGCTGATGACGTTGTTCCTCAGGTCCCTGTGGAGGCACAAGGAGACCTCAGCCTCTCCCCTGCGGGGCCCCCACCACAGCTGCTATCTCAGGACCCGACTTTCTTCTAGATCTCTGCTCTCTTGAGCCCTGGCAGGATGTTCCCTCGCATCCCCACAGGTCTCCTCAGCCTCTCTGGCCACCATCAAGGGGCTGGGCCAGAAAACATTAGCTGTAGGAGCCAAGAGATAGCACAGGAAGGCCTCAGATAAGGAGAGTGGAGGCCATGAGGGGTGGCCAGAGTACCGAATGCACAGGGACTCAGGAGGCCACACTATTGCACCTCAAGCTGCCTGAGCTGCCTGGGGCTCTAGGACCTCTTAGGACTTTTCTGGGAACCTCGAGTCCAGCTGCTGCAGTCATCTGTAAAAGTGACAGTGACTATATTCCTGCAGCTCTCTCCATGCCAGAGGACAAGGGAGCAGGTGGTGGAGAACTAATGGCCTCTGCCCAGTCCAGACTTCATGGTAGGATGGTAAGCATGACCCAGCCTCCTCATCTTTAGAAGTCCTGGAGTAACAGGACTGAAGAGTCCTGTTCAGGGTCCTCAGCTCTGACTCCTCCACTGGCTCTTAGCAGTCACAGAATTAGAAGCTACACAAGTGTGGCTTCTGCGCAGGACAAGAAGAGGTGGGGGGGGGGGCAAAATCTGCCCTGCCTGGGGCAGGGGATGGCAGCCTCTGACCTTGTTCCACTGAGGCCAGAGTGCAACTCAGTCAGGCTGCAAGTAGTTCCCATCATCGGGGACATGTAGCACCTGTGCCTGACACAGCAGGCTTGGAGGAGGTACTGGGGGACCCTCGGGGACTAAGGTGGGGTGCTGGACCACTGTCTTCTCCCCCAGCCCACCCTCCATGCCAGGCGTGCCTAGGGAAAGAGCTGCCAAGAGGGCCGGAGTCATCGTCCACAAACTCAAGGGCCACCCAGACCAGCCTGACGCCACAGAGCACTTCCCAGGCCTCACTGCTTGGGCGCCTTTAGCCTGCCTGTGCATCAGCACCCTCTCTGTACCCATCCCAGGACCTGGGAGGTCAGGGGGCAAAGGGTGAATGTGTGTGACTCCTGCAATAAGGTCAGCCTCAGAAGGGCCATGGCAAAAACAGGGTTGGTGGGGGAGTCGACAGAGGGATCCTGCCACCCGCTCCCAGCCCAGACAGGAGCAGGGGCTTGGGCTCTGCAGACAAAGTCTGGAGATAGCTCTGGATTACAAGAAGGAGAGTATTATGGAAGCCAGCACCTCGCCTCACAGGCAGAGGAAATGGGTGTCTAGGGCAGAGAGGGGCTTGCTCCCAGGGTTGGGGTGGACCAAATAACCTGCTCAGCCCTTCCCAGACTCAGCTGGCCTCCAGAGCCCTGGATTTACTTGAGGAAGAAGAGAGACACAAAGAGCCAGCACATACAGGACGTGTGCAAAGTGACACATTCCGGGACACTGCATGCGGATAGGCACAGCCTGCCTGAGGGCGGTGCCCTTCCCACCCGCACCCTTTTGCTGCCAGGCCCCGCCCTCCCTGCCCTCCCTGCCCTCCCCTTCAGGGCTGCAGCCTGCTCCCCAGACCTCTGGTGGGGTCTGGCCATTCTCAGGGCTCTGCCTCCCACCCCCGCACCGCACGGGGACAGCAGAGGGAAACACATTCCTCATTGTGTCACTTCCCTTCATGGGCTGCCAAGGGGCTGAGGCTGCAGCCCCCCACCCCTTCCCGCTCCCCGTGCTGTGTTTATTCTCATTTCCTCTCGGCCCCCTGGTGAGCCCCACCCCTGCCCCACTGATGGGCTGCAGATGGGAGCAAGGCGGCCCCTGGGGCCTAGCCCCTCCTCCTGCCCTCGATTTTCTGCGGTGAATCTGGGGGCCATTCTTCCCCTGCATGCCTGCTCTGAGTGCCTTCAGGGACCCGAGGCAGCGCACAGGCAATCCTGGTCCTCCCGTGGGTCCAACCTGCTGCCTGGGCTAAGTTCTGACATCCCAGTGGGCCACAGGCACGTGACATCTCCGAGTGTCTCAGTAAGGGAAGCAGCTCAGTGCTTGCACCCAGGGGCAGGAAGAAATTCAGCCACAGAACTCGGACACTGTTTGGATCTGCAAGACGCTACTGATTGGTGCTTCTGAGCCCTTCTTGTTTGGGAAGTCTGATGAAGGCCAAGGACTCCAGCCTAGAAAACTGGACTACACCCAACATCGTGCTCAGGATTTCAGAGGTGCTGTGGAATCCAGATTAAGAACACTTGTCCTGGATTATTTAATGATCCCCCCACCCACCCAAAAGAACCTTAACCTGAGCAAACGTCTCTAGCCCTTTGATTTTGACAGGTCTTTGCCAAATCATTACATTGCCCAGTCCAGGCTGAACTTTGAGTCCTCCTGCCTCTGCCTCCCACAGTGCTGGGGTTATCAGTGTGCACCTCCATACCTGGCTGACATTGGGTAGGTGGGACAATGCGGCACACATCTGCTTCCACAAGATCTGTTCCTGGAAACTGGGAGAGATGCAGTGCGCTGCCAGAACACCCCCTTGCCCCAAGTATCTGCCCGAGGGGACTGCTTGTTGCACCCCACTGCAGACACAAAACCCTCCCCGAAAACTGCACTGAAAACTGTGCCGCAATGCTAAGGCAGAGAGGGAGCTTTAGGCAGCAGTGAGGAGGACTCCTGGGAACAACTGCACTGTGCCCTGACTGGAGGAGTGAGTACGTCAGCACAGCAGAGAGTTGATGTGTTGGACGTAAGAACCGAAAGCCTTTAGTCAGGCATGATGGCACCCTGTACTGCCAGCCCTCCAGAGGTTGATGCAGGAGGATCGTCCAGTTGGATGCCAGCCTGGACTACATAGACAGACTCTGTCTCAAAAATCAAAAAACGATACCAAGATCCTGTTTCAAAGTAAAGAAATTTGCTTTTTAAAAAAGCTTATTTTTTATTTACTTATCTGGTATAGGATCTTGCTATGCAGCCCAGACTTGTAGTGATCCTCCTGTCTCAGTCTCCTCAGCACTGGGATTACAGGCATGTAACATCACTCCTGTTTTCGGGGACCAGCACAGCACATTGGGGGTTCCAGGGCTGACATGGCTTGTAGTAACAGGGGTCGAACCTGGGTCTTTCTGCTTGCCAGGCAGGCACTCAGACCACCCAGCTATCTCCCCAGCCCCAAAGTAAAGAAATTTTAAAAGGGCTAGGGAATGTAGTTCTGTGTGAAGGCCGTGGGTTCAACCCCTAGTACCACAAAATAAAAAACCAAACTTTTGTATCTTAGAGGCCACCTTCCACACAGTGAAAAAATACATGTATCACCTCCGTGTGATGAATGTATTCATTATGTATTGCGAACTAATAAATATAATTTTTTAAAAAAGAAAGAGAACCAGCGAGTTTGGTGATACATGCCTGAAATCCCAGCACTTGGGAGGCTGAGGCAGGAGGATCACTGTGAATTTGAGACCATCCTACACATTAAGACTCTGTTTCAAAAAAAGAAGAAGGCCAGGTATGTAGCTCAGTTGCATAAGCACCTGCCTGGCAAGTGCAAGGCACTGAGTTCGATTCCTGGTATCGTAAAAAAAGAAAGAAAGAAAGAAAGAAAGAAATCCACCAGAAAAGAAAATATTTGCAAATCAGATAAGGAATTTCTATCCAGAAAACAGAGAGAACTACAATTCAGTAATGCGGACAATTTAGCTGAAAAAAAAAAGGTAAATTATTTATATCTCATTTCTTCAACGAAGTCTACAGGCATATAACTATAGTCCCAACTATGGGGGAGGCTGAGGCTGCTTGAGTCCAGGACTTTGAAGCTGGCCTGGACAACACAGCAAAAACTCCAACTCATGTTCATGGCCAATAAACCTATCAAAAGATATTTGATGTCATTTATCATAAGGGAACTGCAAATCAAAATCACAAAGAGAAACCACTTTATAACACTGAGATGACTACAACAGAAAAAGACAGATAAAAGCTGGGTGTGGTGGCACATGTTTGTAATCCCCGAATTTGGGAGGTTGAGGCAGCAGCCTGGGCTAAGCAGCAAGTTCTAGGCCAGCCTGGACTTT